TATATATATATATATATATATATATATATATATATATATGAGTGGATAAAACAACTATGGGACATTTCACAATGGAATATTACTTGGCTGTAAAAAAGAAGAAAATTTTACCATTTGCAACAGCATAGATGAACTTGGAGAACATTATCCTGAGAGAAATAAGCCAGTCAGAGAAAGACAAATACCATATTATTTTATTTATATGTGGAATCTAATGAACAAATTGAACTAGCAAGCAAAATAATGACAGACTCATAGATAGAGAGCAGAATGACAGCAAAAGGGTAGGGAGGTAAGGAGGTGGAGTGACAATGCAAAAAGAAAAAAGAACTCATGGACATGGGCTACAGTGTGGTGATTGCAGAGGAGAAGGGGAGAAAAGGGGTTTAAATGGTAATGGAAAAATACAATAAAAAGAATTTTAAAAAAAGAAAATACTAGTTTTTTAGGACTTTATGCTGTTGTTTGAACTGTTGAGCTTGAATACGAAGGGGTCCCACAAAAAGAGAATATATTTATAGAAATTATAAATTGATTCCTGCATGTTTAAATTTCAGTCACCTTCAAAGTACTGTCCATTTGATGCAATACACCTAGTGAGACGTTTTTCCACTGTTCAAAACAGTTTTTGAACTCCTTGATCTGGATGACTTTTAGTACTTCTGCCATTTTTTTTTTACCTCTTCCATATTGGCCAGATGTTTTCCTTTCAGGACTTTTGCCACCTGGGAAAATAATTAAAAGGTTGCTCAGGATGGGATTGGGTGAATAGGGAGGGTGGATTTAGGGGTCATGCCATTTTTGGTCAAAAACTGCTGAACACTCAGCTCCATATGGGCAGGTATGTTCATAAAATCACCCATCATGACATGGACAAACTCATTAAGAGTCTTCAAAAATTTTTTCTGAAACTGAACTCAGCCTCTCACAATAATGCCAGCTGATACACTGATACAGATGGGTTCCTAGAACACTTATATAGCAGGGGAAGCCTGTACTATAAAGGGCCCTCACTCCAGAAGATCATTCTGTTTTGGGGGTCCCCCTTATATGTGCATTTAGTCCTCGCACACCCAGCAGGTGTACATCTAGATAATGGAAAGAGCGTTAAACATAGACAGGCATTTGAATCCTGTCCCTGTCACATATTTTTCTACTCACTTAGACAAATTATTTGATAATGAGAAGGATGCTGACTTCATGGGATAATTATAAGAATGAAGGGAGCTATAACAAAGAAGTGCTTCCCATGATCATTGATGAATAGTAATATTAGTAATGATTATAATACCTATTTAGTAATTATTAGTTATAGTAATGAATAGTTAGTCCCCTTACTTTTCCTTCTAGAAGTCTCTATTTCCTCAGCGTAGTACCTGAAGAAGATACATTGGAGCCTGAGATACTGAATAAATGAATGAATGAGATACTGAATTTCAAAACACTTTATAAGCCTTAAAGTATGAAAATGCTAACTATTAATATTTGAATAATTGCATCAATATATGTAATGATCTGGCAAAAAATCCATGTATACACATAAATGTGTTTGTGTGTAAGTGCTAAATGTTATGATATGAGCTTGCGGGGGTTAGAGAATTTAAGCAAAAGAGGGACTAAATGTGTCTGTTAATCATTTGGGGGACTTTTAGAGGAAGGTGGGATTGAATTGAGGTAGGTTTTGAATATGAAAAGTAATATATGCAGAAGCATGTGACTAAAAATTAAAAGAAGAAAGAAAATGGTATGTTCAGGGAGTAGTGATAAGACTCCTGTGCCTAGAGAGTGAGGTATTCTTGAAAAGTCGTTAGGGTAAGTAGAAGAAACAAGGTGTGGCCAAGACAAGAGGCCTTACTAATCTGGTAAGAGAAAGAGAATCATTTTAAGTTTGGGGGCAAGATAAGAGACAGTGTGTCACCAACACATCACTGTTAGAATATATTTTTAGCGATTAACTTTGGTAATAGAACTACAAACAAAAATAAATTGTACTTCCGGCCAAGATGGAGGTGTAGGTGGAAATATGGTACCTCCTCACATGACCAAATTTAAGAACAACAAAGATTTAGAAACAAAAACATAACCAAAACAGACAGAAAATTGAACTGTATTGAAGTCCAACAACAATGAACCATTCATCCAGACCAGTAAGAGGGGGGGAGTCAGCGTCAAGTGGAGAGGGGTCCTGGGGGGGAAAAGGCAGTGCTTAGCGACCCAGGTGGGCATGGGGACAAAACGAGCAAACCCAGTAAAGCTCACAAGATGGCTGGCTGACAGTGGACACACATTCGCCTGCAGATAAACCAGGCAAAAAATGGGCAATGAGACAGACCACGCAACCCAGGACCCCAGCTACAGGAAATAAAGCCTAAAAGCACCGATTGGAAAAACTTTTGGGGGTTGAGGTGCCAGGAGAGGCTCCCAGCCTCACAGGAGCTTTTGTTGGAGAGACCCATGGGATCCTAGAACGTACACAAGTCCGCCTACCTGGGAACCAGCACCAGAAGGACCCAATTAGTTTGTGGGAAGTGGCAGATGGGACCGAAATCTGAGAGAGAGTGGAACAAACACCATACTCCATGTCTGACCACACCCCCACATACAGCATCACAACCCGGCAACTGGGTTGCCCTGCCCTGGTGCACACTTAAGCCTCTGCCCCTCACATATAACAGGCACAAACAGACCAAAACATTATGGCTCAAGCAGAAGAACGGATCAAAGCCCCAGAGCCAATACTTCTAAGCAACCAAGAGATAGCCAACCTATCAGATGCACAGTTCAAAGCACTGGTGATCAGGATGCTGTCAGAACTGGTTGATTTTAGTCCCAAATTAGATGAAAAAATGAAGGCTACACTAAGTGAAATGAAGCAAAACACACAGGGAACCAATAGTGATGGAAACACATCTGGGATTCAAATCAATGGAGTGGACCAGAAGGAACAAAGAAACAACCAAACAGAAAAGAATGGAGAAACAAGAATACAAAAAATGAGGAGAGGCTTAGGAACCTCTAGGACATCTTTAAACGCTCCAACATCCGAATTATAGGGGTACCAGAAGGGGAAGAGGAACAGTCATGACTGGAAACCTTATTTGAACAAATAATAAAGGAGAACTTCCTCAATCTGGTAAAGGAAATCGACTTCCAGGAAATCTAGGAAGCTCAAAGAGATCCAAAGAAGTTGGACCCAAGAAGGAACACACCAAGGCACATCATCATTACATTAGCCAAGATTAGAATGAAGGAGAGAATCCTAGAAGCAGCAAGAAATAAGGGGACAGTCAGCTACAAAGGAGTTCCCATCAGACTGTCAGCTGATTTCTCAAAAAAGACCTTGCAGGCAAGAAGGGGCTGGAAAGAAGTATTCCGAGTCAGGAAACGCAAGGACCTACATCCAAGATTGCTCTATCAGCGAAGCTTTCATTTAGAATGGAAGGGCAGATAAAGCCCTTCTCGTATAAGGTCAAATTCAAGGAGTTCATCATCACCAAGCCCTTATTATATGAAACGTTAAAGGGACTTACCTAAGAAAAAGAAGATAAAAAATATGAACTGTGAAAGGACAGCAAACTCGTAGTTATTAACAACCACACCTAAAACAAAAGCAATCTAAGAGGATAGCTAGATCAGGAGTGGAACCATAGAAATGGAGATCACATGGAGGGTTAGCAACAGGGGAGTGGGAGGAGGAGAGAGGGTGAAAAGGTACAGAGAGTAAGTAGCATAGATAGTAGGTAGAAAATAGACAGGGGAGGGCAAAAATAGTATGGGAAATGTAGAAGCTAAAGAACTTGTGACACATGGACATGAACTAAAGGGGAGGGATGTGAGGGGAAGGGGTATGCAGGGTGGAGGGGAATGAAGGGGGGAAAATGGGGCAACTGTAATGGCATAATAAATAAAATATATTTTTTTTAAAAAAAGAAAGAAAAAGAATCCAAAAAATGAGGTTAATATAAGTAGCCTTTGGGACAACTTCAAGAAATCCAACGTTCGCATCATGAGAGTGCCAGAAGAAGAGAAAGAGCAAGAAATTGGAAATCTATTTGAAAAAATAATCAAACTTCCCTAAGTTGGAGAAGGAAATAGACATACAAATCCTGGAAGCACAGAGAATCCTAATCAAGTTGGACCCAAAGAGGACCACACCAAGACATATCATAATTAAAATGCCAGAGGTTAATGATAGAGATAATCTTACCAGCAGCAAGAGATAAGAAGTTAATTACTTACAAAGGAGGAACTGGGAGAAAGGGGAAGATGGTGCAGGGATCAAGAAGCATAATTGGTAGGAACAAAATAGACAGGGGGATGTTAAATATTGTACAGGAAAGGAAGAAAACAAAGAACTTAAATGCAGGACCAATAGACATGAACTAAGATGGGGGACTGCTGGAGGGAAGGGGGTTACCAGGTTGAGGGGGAGAAAGGGAAAAATTGGCACAACTGTAACACCATAATCAATAAAATATACTAAAAATTGGAAAATAAATAAATAAATAAATTGTAGATTAGTGAATTATTTTTTTTCTTCCACAGTATGTAGCTGGAATTCTCATTTAGTGGTGATAAAACTATGGCTAAATGTTTTAGAATTCTTGTTGTATTCTTAGAATGTTACTCGATTAGATCATGATAACTTCAGAATTTGATTCAAAATTATGCCCATAATCCCAGCATTGTCCGTTTCTGAGACTTCTTGCTATGATAGCCTAAAGAAAATTTTTAGTAAATTTTCCATACCTTAAGTTATTTGATGATACCATGTACTTATTCTTCCTGTTTCTTTTCCTGTAGATTCTCAGTGTTAAAGTGGTTATAATGTCCTTTATAATTTCTGTCTAATTTTCATTGAAAGGGAAAAAGGGTTTAACTAATTCATTAAAATCATTAGTTGTAAATCAGTTAATAACTTTGTTACAATGTATTCACTTTCATTGTTTTCACCCTGAAATTTCCTCTTTTCTTATACTCTTTTTCATATTTCTCTGCAGTATGGATGGAGCAGATCTATGTTTTGAAATCGTAAAAAGAGCTGATGCTGGTTTTGTATACAGTGAAGCTGTAGCCAGGTATGTAATTTGTATCAACTCCCCAAGAGGTCAAGGTGAATGTAAAATAAAGAAATGAGAAAGCAAAACAAAAAACCCACACAAAGTAGCCTATTCTTTAAACTGATGATGGGTATGCTGCCACTCTTTCCTACAAGGAGCATATCTGTTTTCATGTGTATTAGTGGAACCAAATAGTAACTGCACAGGCAAAATACTGAACAATGAATTTATCTATTAATATGAGTTTACAGTTTTGCATCAATATTGTTATTTTTCCCATTCCTGATGACTTTTTTCTTTCAATTTTATTTTGTATTAGTTTCATGTATACAGTTTAGTGGTTAAACAATCATACTTTACATAGTGTTCCCCTCAATATTTCCAGTACCCCAACTGGCACCATACACAGTTACTAAAGTATTAGTGACTATATTTCCTGTGCTTTATGTACTTCCCCATGACTATTTTGTGACTGCCAATTTGTGCTTCTTAGTCTCTTCACCTCTTTCACCCAGTTCCCTGTCCACCTCATGACTTTTATACAAGGGGGGATTTGATAGCTTAGGAACCATATAGAATTTAACTTGGACTTTTTGTGTGTTTGATTTTTGTCTTTTGGCAGATAATTGCCTCATTAGTTCTTTGGTTCACCTTTTAGTGATAGCAACTTGCTATGTGACCAGTTAATCTGAGGAAAAACACAGAACAATAGAAGGAACAGAAATCAGTTCTTCTGCTGAATATATTTGCCTCAGGCCAGTGTGTGATCTCCTAGTCAAATGGTGACCATTGTCCTAAGTGGAGGAGTTGTTGTATAGAAGTATAGCTCAAAATAAGGAATACCCATGAAAAATCACAGGAGCCATGTACTGGGCTACTTGCTTATAGATTTAGAGTAATAAGCTTTATGCTTTGGTGACAATCATATCATAAATACCTGCTTCAACTGGTTGCCTTCTTAATACATGTTGTACATAAATTACTAGGATACAGCATATCTCCTCATTCACCAACCATAATATGTTGAAGGGTTGAAATCCATTAGGATTTATTAAAATTTGCTGCCATTTAAGAAAGGGCTACCATTAAATGACTTTAATTTCCTCCCTCCTATTATTCTTTTTATAAGTATGGCATCGTGGACAGATACACCTGGAAACAACTTAGAAGACTACCTAATGCAGCTTTGAGTTCAGAGTGGCTTGACTTCATTCAAATTCTTTGCCCTGCCTTCTCCTACCTGAGGAGGAAGGGCCCCAGACCCCAGTCCCAGAAACTGGAGCAGCCATAACTGTATCACAAGATAAAGAATATACTCAATTTGAGGCTGCTATTTTGTACTATTGGAGATAGGAAAAAAAACAAGTGAAAGTTCACATAAACTATGATTGCTTCTTTAAACTCCTGATGTATTCACGGTAGACCTGAGGCTAAATATCCTCTTTTCTTTTGTGGCATGTTCATTCAAGCTCATTCTATGGTTTTTTAATCCCATCTTTCTATTGTTTGCAGTTCTTATCATAATTTTAAATTTGTATCATTTATTGTGCTTCAGAATTAAAAAGCATTTTTATTTTTAAATATATTTTGTTGATTATGCTATTACAGTTGTCCCATTTTCCCCCTCCACTCCCCTCCACCTTGCACACCCCCTCCCACCCACATTTTCCCCCTTTAGTTCATGTCCATGGGTCATACTTATAAGTTCTTTGGCTTCTACATTTCCCATACTATTCTTACCCTCCCCCTGTCTATTTTCTACCTACCATCTATACTACTTATTCTCTGTACCTTTTCTCCCTCTCTCCCCCTTCCACTCCCCTGTCGATAACCCTCCATGTATGTCCATTTCTGTGTTTCTGTTCCTGTTCTAGTTGTTTGCTTCATTTGTTTTTGTTTTAGTTGTGGTTGTTGTTAATTGTGAGTTTGCCATCATTTTACTGTACATGTTTTTTATCTTTTTCTTAGATAAGTCCCTTTAACATTTCATATAATAAGCGCTTGGTGATGATGAACTCGACTTGACCTTAACTTAAGGTCAACTTTAACTTGACCTTATCTGAGAAGCACTTTGTCTGCCCTTCCATTCTAAATGAAAGATTTGCTGGATAGAGCAATCTTGGATGTAGGTCCTTGCCTTTCATGGCTTGGAATACTTCTTTCCAGCCCTTTCTGGCCTGCAAGGTCTCTTTTGAGAAATCAGCTGATAGTCTTATGGGCACTCCTTTGTAGGTGACTGTTCCCTTATCTCTTGCTGCTTCTAAAATTCTCTCCTTCATTTTAATCTTGGGTATTGTAATAATGTGGTTCAGTGTGTTCCTCCTTGGGTCTACTGTCTTTGGGACTCTCTCAGCTTCCTGGACTTCCTGGAAGTCTATTTCCTTTGCCAGATTGGGGAAGTTCTCCTTTATTATTTGTTCAAATAAGTGTTCCACTCGTGGGCGTTCCTCTTCCCCTTCTGGTACCCCTATAATTCGGATGTTGGAGTATTTAAAGATATCCTAGAGGTTCCTTAGCCTCTCCTCATTTTTTTTGAATTCTTGTTTCTTCATTCATTTCTTGTTGGATTTTTCTTTCTTCCTACTAGTCCATACTGTTGATTTGAGTCCCAGTTCTCATCCCATCACTATTGGTTCCCTGTACATTTTCCTTTATTTTCACTTAGTATAGCCTTCATTTTTTCATCTAATTTGCGACCAAATTCAACCAATTCTGTGAGCATCTTGATCACCAGTGCTTTGAACTATGCATCTGATAGGTTGGGTATCTTTTCGTCGTTTAGTTGTTTTTTTTCTGGAGCTTTCGTTTGGCCCATTTTTTTTTGTTTGTTTTGATGCGCCTGTTATGTACTGAGGTGTGGATCCTTAGGTGTTTACCAGGGTGGGGCAACCCACGTAGCTGTGTTGTGACACCGTATGCAGGGGAGAGGTCCAAGAGGGAACGATGGTGCTTGCTCTGTGCTCTGCCAGATTTTAGTCACTTCCCCACTTCTCACAAGCAAATTGGTCCATTCTAATGCTGGTTCCCATGTGGGTGAGTTTGTGTACATTCTAGGACCCTGTATGTCTCTTTAATGAATTCTCCTGTGAGGCTCAGAGACTCTCCCAGGACCTCAACCCCCACAGCTGTTTTCAATGAGTGGTTTGAGGCTTTATTTCCCTGCACTGGGGCCCTGGGTTGAAGTCTGTCCCACTCCCCAGTTATTTCTCCACTGTATCTGCACATAAGTGTAGAACCACCCAGTCAGCAATCCTCTGCCCTACTGGTCTGCCTACTGCAGCCTTGCCTGCCCCATTCCACAATCTGCCACTTCCCTGGGTCTTCCAACCACCACCTTACCGAGAGTTTTCTCTGCCCAGCTGCATGTCTGCACCCCTCCTACTGGTCTGGATGATTGTGTCTTCCTTAATTCCTTGGTTGTCAGACTTCCATACAGTTTGGTTTTCTATCAGTTGTGGTTGTTTTTTGTATTTAAATTGTTGTTATCCTTTGGTTGTGCAAGGAGGCACAGTGTATCTACCTACACCTCCATCTTGGCCAGAAGTCCCTAAAAAGCATTTTTAATACCAAAAATAGTCAATGGAATCTTAATTTTTCTTATGGCAATAGTGGTAACCACTTTATCCAACTACATGAAACTCTCAGACCTTTGTATATCATTGTTTATATTTATTTCTTCAAGAAGTTGAAGTAATTTGCCTTTTGTACTTTCAACAGCAGCATCAAATGGGAAAACTAAAAATTCTGAATGTTGGTTTTATAAAATAGTGAAGCTTGGTGGAAGAAGATCACCTTTTCCTTTTTGAAGCACAATAACACTGGGGTCCCTGGCATATATGCTTGGCAAGTTTGATGTTAAACCAGCCCCACTTTTACTCTTTTCTGACTCACCCATATTCCTTTTCCTTAAGTTCAAGTTTGTCACTTCCACTGGGCTGGGTGTCAAGATGGGGGGAATAGTTGCATGTAGAGATGATGTTATATGTGAAATGATTTTGGTATCTCCCAATCTCAAGATTTATAGAAAAAGTAGGTGTTTATATACATCTGATGAAAGCTTGTTGGTTTTAAAATCTACCTATATTTGCTGTTGAAGTGATGATTTTATTAAAGGAATTTCTCAGAACAGACCAGAAAAGAGTAACATTGGGACCAACATGTGACACTGCAAAAAGAAAGGTTTGACATAATTTATTAAAATCCCTTCCTAAAAATGACAGAAGAGGTGGGGCAGCTTCAGAAAGTGCTTATGTATGTTCCGTATTTCACAGAATCAAAGACCATGTAACAAGGGCACATAAATCCTTCCTTTTGGTTAGAGTGTTAAACCAGATGACTTTTAACCTTCCTTCCTCTCTGATTCTGTGATTCATTGTTGGGAAATTCAGCTTACATCAGTATTCTAGTGAGACCAACTGCAGGAAGACTCTGAGACACCAAGTAATGAAATTGATAATGTTGTTTTTCTCCAACTGACTGAGCTTGAAGAGGAGCAACAGAGCATGGCTAAAATAAAACTCTGTTCAGTCCTTACCACCCAATTAGTGATTACCTCTGTTCTTTCAGGGTTGATGAGTTGTAGAGTCAGCTAACGTACAGGATCAAATTATGAAATCATAGTCTCACAAATCAGAGATCTTCTTACTCAATACCAAGCTTTACAAATAACTGCAAGATACAAGCAATCAAAAGGCTCAGCTGAACCAGAAAAAGGTCTGAGCCTTCAAGAGCAGCTTCCTGCGTCATTCCTTCCCACATCTTTCCCTCCTACATCAGAAATGCATGCCTGGCCCAGAATAGATGAGGCCTTTGCATGAGGTTTGTGGGATTATACACACAGAGGGGAACATTTCAATAAGAAATCTCTCCATTGTATACCCAGAGATCTATATAGCTTATATGACATCTTCTGGAAAGCCATTCATGACTCAAAGAACCTAGGTTCTCTTTACCCCAGATAATCTTTAAGGGCATTTCAGAGGTAAGTTCTCTTCTGCCTAGTAAAGAACATTAATCTTTCTACTCACAGTTCACAAGGAAGGTAGACTCAGTCACCTCCCTTCTTTTTTTTCCACCACCCTACCACCCCTGAAAATGCCTCCTTCCAAAGGACATGAGCAGATTGCTGGCCAGCTCTTTCCTTCTTCAGAGTTCTCATCATTCCTGGCCCTTAAAGGAAGATGGAAAAAAACATAAATTGCTGATTTTTCTCTGAAAGTATAGGCCACCATGACACTTCATGATTTGGAGCTCTTTGATTCAAGTTTACTCAGGAACTCTCTGGAACATGTGGGTGGATTTCAGTTCTCTATTTTGCTTATCTGTACACTGTTCACATGCAGTGCCTCCCCGGGTCATAACTGGAAGTGTGGAGAAAGCTCACTTTAAACATGTAATATCTGGGAAGAAAACAATTCTACCCCCCACATATACACCCCAGAGATTCTGATATATATGATATTTGGGTCAGATAATTGAATACGCTGATACTAAGATTTTTTAAATGCTTATTTAGTGAGTTTTTTCAAATAAGACTTTGAGAGAGGAATTTTCTTTAAGCTAAAGATATGTGGCTATCTTAGTACCATTTATCCAAAGTAGTCTATAGTATAGTATAATCTGTGTCTATCCATGTTACCTAATTTAAACTTACTCACTACTCCATTGTTCACACCTCAGTACACAAATAGGCTATTCCTAAATCCTTGATTAAATTTAACAATAATGATGATATTGTAATAATAACAACTTATACCTGTGCAGCATGGTTTAGAGTTTACAGAGCACTCTCACATTTGTGACTTCTGCCTTTTCTGGGGCGGAGGGGGTGGGGGGCAGTGGGCAGCGTGGTCACAGGTCTTCCAAAACCTGATTTGAACTAGGAAAGAACTACACTACTAACAATTCTTAACTCAAATAGAAACTTAATCACAGGCTGCACTGGCCCAGGCAGAATATGTGTCCACAACCCCTTATCTGTGCATTTACAAAGCAAGAAAAATGGAACATCTAAGGACTAACTTCATGTTCCTAGCTCTCTGCTGAAAGCCCAATTGTGAAGAGGCAATAAGTATAGGAACAGTCCGGATTTGTTTCTTTTCCTTTCTTTGTAAAAATGGAACCTCTGGTCAACTGTAATACTTGAAATAATGCATGTGCTAATTAGAGGGACATCCATATGAGTTTGGTTTAGATCATAGCAACCAAAGAGGGAACTTGATGGAAAAGTGTTTTAATTTAAAGCAGGAGTGAGGAAATTTTTTGTGTTGAGTCACAAGCACACACAACAGGTCATTTTTTAGTACTATTGAATTCTTTTTATTTTAAAATGTAGGAAATATAAGATCTGAAAAGATAAAACAAAATTCAGTAAATACTATGCAATAAATAATGTTGAGTATATTGCACTTCTATATCATGTCTGGTTGGGGAAGGAAAAGGGGAAAATAAGAAAGAAAGAGGTATAATAGGAAAAATGAGAAAGATATGAAAGAAATAAAATACAGAGGAAGATGAAAAAGCCAAAGAATAGCAAGAATTCAGAAGAACTTTAGAATGGAGGGAAGTCAAAGTAAGTTCCAAAGGAATACTGAATAAAGTACTCTTTTCACACCCTGTTGCTAGTAGACCCTGTTACCACTTTTTAAGGACTGTTCTTCAAAATGCTAACTACTCCTGCAGCCGATGGGGGGCCTTAGCTGACCCCAGTTGGCAATGTGAAGAATCTGACTTCCTAGGACTTGGGCCCAATACAAACTCTGATTTGTTCACAGATGCCCCAACTAAAACTTGATTATGTTGCAAAAAAATTGTAGCCATACGACTTTTCTCCTTTCCTGTTAAATTTGTCCTTATAGCTAAGTTGAAATAAGGCAAGAGAGCCAGTGTCTGCTGGCAGGTAAAAGACTCCCAACACTTTAGTCAGGATCCTCAATGTACCTCTAAGCACTGTTCACTTAATAGCAATCTAATGTAACTAAGTAGTATTCACTGAGTGTCAGAGAATAGTTGGCATGTTTTTTTAATGCTTTAAGCTTGAATTTTTTGTTTGGAAGCTATTTTACTTATGAACTATGTGAAATTCTTTTGACTTAGAGATCTTAGAAAATATAGAACACATAATTTCTTCATGAACCTCATAAATTTATGATCCCCCAAGGTTTCATTATTAAGTCTCACATTCCATAAGTCTTGTCTACTTAAATGGAAAGTGTCCATGGGAAGCAAATACGAAGGGGGGGAGTTACAAACTAGGGGCAACTGTATAATAAGTTTGAAAAATAAGTTTTTTTTACAGTTTTATATTTCTTTTGTTTTTCTACAGTCATTATATGAGACAGATACTGGAAGCTCTACGCTATTGTCATGATAATAACATAATTCACAGGGATGTGAAGGTAAGTCACTTTTATCACTAACTTTAATATTTGTGAAGGGTAACTAACTAATAATGATAATAATCAGCTTTTTCTTTAATATTCTTATTTAACTGCTTTATGTTTGTAGAGTCACTGTACTAATTCTTAAAACAGCACTTTTTACAATTTCAGTTTCCTTATTTTTGTTAAAATGTACATGCATTCTAAAACTCTGTTATTCGTCTTTCATGTGTGTATGACAGAAGAATAAAAAATCCAACATACAGAAAACAAACAATATCCTATGCTAAGTTAATTGGGGGAGGGGAATGAGAATTGGTTTATATAGTAAAAACATCATACACCTGTAATTTTGTAGTATTGCAGTGTTAAATAGTCAGTATTTTCTTTTCTTTGCACATTTTTAAAAATAGTCTGAAATCATTATAGATGTAATATGGTATGTACCCTTAGGAACATGAGTATTACCATTATTCAGTCTTTCTGCCTATTTGATGCCAGTAACAAGTTCATGAGAACTGTCAGTCCCTGGCTCTAACAGTGTCAGGCAAAACATAGAGACATGAAAGGAAGGAGACCAGTGGGTCTTCCTCTTGATTTCCAACTTCTTCTAAGGCCTTGAATCACTAAGAGCCTCTGAGGTCTCTTTGGCCCTGTTGTTCATTTTCAGTGCTCTGATATTTTGTCTCTAGCCTCTCTGTCTAATGCACACCATCCACAGACACAATGCTCTCCTTCCCTCAAGACATATTATCAAAGGCTTGGCTTTTTAAATGTATTTTAAGAAAATCAAGTAAAGCCCTGACTGGCATGGCTCATTTGGTTAGGTGTCATCCCACAGAGTGAAAGGTCACCAGTTCAATTTCTGCTCAGGGCACAAGCCTGGGTTGCAAATTTGGTCCCCAGTATGGGGCACATGTGAGTGGCAGCCAGTTGATGTTTCTCACATTGATGTTTCCCTCCATCTCTTTATCCCTCCCTTCCCTTCTCCCTAAAAATAAATAAATAAATTCTGTTCTTAAAAAAAGAAAACAAAATCAAGTAGAGTTAAATTTGCAATGTTTGGGAAATTTTAATTGAAATTCTTATGGTTAAAAGCTGAGGAAAAGCATGCACAATTCCAAAACAATCCAGTGGCATGTTATAATAGCAAATGAAAAATCATTGGAGAAATTTGCAAAATACACATTACTGTAAAATTAGTTGCAAAATAGCTTATTCATGCTTTTCAAATGTGCTAGGAAATGATACTGTTATTATCCATAGTCAATACTGAGAAACCTACTGGATACATGGTACTTTTATTTAAACAGTATTCTTCAGTTACATAAACAAAGAGAATAAAAAGCATGGGAAGATAAAGGGGTCAAACTCGTAAGTGGTTGTAGCATGCCCTATTTATTCTTTTGCATTTAATCAATACAAGAAAGTAGATATTTACAAACTAAAAAATCTCCTTGTTTATATATAAAATATATACAAGACAGAAATGACCATTTGAAAATTTAAATGGGAAAAACAGATTCTTAGGTTTTGAGTTCTATTCTTCAAAGCTAATTATATCAACATCATATAATAAATAATGATTGACAACATACTTTATTGTAATACTTTCAATAATATAGTCAGCTTTTGATTCACCCTGGTATTTGGTATCATGACAGTCCAAAACCAAATAAAATCCCAAAGTAGTTATATTTCATTTCACCTTCTCATTTACCTTCTGATTGATTCATCCCAATGTTTGGATGCCTACTTCATGCTTGGAGCCCTGAAGCTATTGTGGTCTCAGTAAAGAGATATGAGGCAGTATATTATTGCTATGGGTCAACACAAAGCTAAACTTAGTGACTTCAAACAGCAACTATCATTTATTTGCTCACAATTTCACACTTTGGACAGAGATTGATGCAGCTCAATTCTGTTTCTCAGGCTGTTGGCTGAGGTGGCATGGCTAGTATCCATTAGGGCTTCTCTCACTTTTCTGGCATCTCAACTGAAGTGACTAGAACAGCTAGGAACTGGCTAGGCCTGCTTCATAGTCTCTCATCCATTGCATCTATCTCTCTATATATATCTCTTTCTCCCCCCCCCCACTTTCTCCCTCCCTTCACAAAAGAGCAAAAATGGAAGTTGCCAGGCCTCTTAAAGCCTCAGCACAAAATTGACACTGTGCCATGTCCTCTGCATTCTGTTAGTCAAAGGTCACAAGACTAGATTCAAGAGGAAGAAAAATAGACTGCACGTTTTGGTTGCTGGAACTGCATATATGCACAAAGATAGGAAAACTTGTTTGTGGCCATCTTCACAAACATGCAAGACAAATAATTACTGTCCAAGGTAGAAGGTAGGAAATATCATTAAAAGACAAAGTCAGAGAAATATCATGGAGGAGGTCACTTTTGAACCTGGTCTTGAGTCATGGGGTAGTTATGTGGAGACAAAAGGACATTTCCAGCAAAAGAAACAGTGTGTGCAAAGACTCAAGATTAACAGTAAATTTTATTAAATTACTTTATCTCTAAGGCACATGCCAAATAATTTTGAGGAAGAACCCAAAATCATGCTCAAGAAGGGAAGAGTAAAGTAATTCTCAAACTACAAACAAGTAAGAAGAAACCACCAGGAAAGGCACCATTATTCAGTTGGCAAGCAGACTCACCATAGAGCACATATATTAATGGCATTCTTTATATTTTAGTTCCCCAAATTTACACATTTTGCATGGGTAAATGGGATATTCACATTATGCTCCTTGGTAATTTTCAGTTTGGGTGTATTTTTCTTAAGACATTCATCCAGAAAATATGTATTGAGTGTCTACTGTGTGTCAGGCACTATTCTAGAAACCAGAGCTACAGAGTGAACAAAACAGACAAAAATCATTGCCCACATGAGCTGACTTTCTAGTTCAGGGAGACAGACGCTAATCAATGAACATAAATAAGTGTACTGTATAGTAGGTTAGAAGACAAAAAGGGCTACAGAAAAAAAATAAAGTAGCATCAGTCAAAGGAATAGGGACTGCAAGATGAGGAGTTGCCATTTTAAATAGGGTGATTAAATCAAGCTGCATTGAGATGACATCTGAGTAAGGACTTGAAGAAGCAGAGAGAGTGGGCTAACTGATAAGGAAGGAAGGGTGTTTTGGCTAAAAGGAAAACCCAATGCAAAGGCACTAAAGCAGGAGCATAACTGACCCTACCCACTCCCCAGCACAGTAAAAAATCCAAGTATAACTTGACTCCAAAGTCAGTCCATTGCATCCACGGAGTCAACCAAACATGGACTGAAAAGAGATTTTTCGAGACACAATTGGGAAACCCCAGTGGGGAATAACAAAATACTATTTTTGATCCACAGTTGGTTGGATCCCCAGATGCAAAACCTGTAGATACAGAAGGGCTGACTGTATTTACTGAAAAAAAAATCCACATATAAATGGACCTGCATAGTTCAAAACTGTGTTGTTCAAGGGTGAAGTATACATTGATTTGCTGATAATACATTGAAAAAGGGCCCAAGGGTGGAAGCAAGGAAACAAGAGTTGGACCACAGTGGAAGCAATAGAGGTGGCAAAAAAACTAGATTCCAGATATATTTTGAAGGTTGTATCAACAGGAACCCAAAGTAGTTTTATTAAGGAAATTTTTATAGGGGTTTTTCAACATACTGGTTATTATATTTTTATACTTACTGATTTTAGAGAGAAGGAGAAGGGAGAGAGAGAGAGAAAGAAACATCAGTTAGTTGCTCCACTTATTTATGCATTCATTGTTTGATTTTTGTATGTGCCCTGACCTGGGATCAAACCCCCAACATTGGCATATTGGGATAGCACTCTAACCATCTGAGCTACCAGACCAGGTCCCATAGTAGTCATTATAAAACTTTACTAACATTGTATTTCATCTGGCTAGTAATTTAAAATTTCACTTGATGTGTTGTTAATATTTTTGCTAATAAAGCAGTGTTTTAGCTTTTCTTCACATAATCAATGTGAAGAAAATATATATAGCCAATGACTTGAATGTATGTAGATTTCATTAGATTTTGAGTTGTGCATCAATAAACTTTTATGAAGTTTTTCTTTATACTTAGTAAAGAAAATAGAAGAGCAATGTTTCATTCCTTTTAAAAATTTTCAGATTATTTAATCACCTGTTGCATCTAGCCAAGAATATTCTCAGTTTCTTCCTCTTTTCTTTTCCCTCTCTCCATTTTCCCCCCACCCCCTTTCCTCCCCTCTCCATTTCCCTGTACCCCTCTCCCTTTCCCCTTCCCCTCTTTCTCATAATTCTTGGCATTGATCCAAAAGCACTAGGCTTTCCAAAGGCTCCAGCATTATATTGATTAATAATGCTTTTTATCTTGCCCTGGCTGGTGTGGCTCAGTGGATTGAGTGCCAGCCTGTGAAGCAAAAAATCACTGGTTCAATTCCTGGTCAGGGTACATGCCTGGGTTGTGGGCCAGGTCCCTAGTGGGGGATGCACAAGAGGAAACCACTCACTGATGTTTCTCTCCCTTTCTTTCTTCCTCCCTTCCCCTCTCTAAAAATAAATAAATAAAATCTCTTTAAAAAATAATGCTTTTTGTCTTTACATGGTAGGCATTTCTTTTTGAAATCATCATAACTGAGTAAAAATTTTTGTTGTATCAGGTTAAAATTGAGTTTATGATGCCACATGACTTGTAGTGGAAATGGATTGATTTGGAGAAGCAGTTCCCCATGAAAATTGGGGGAAATGAATTGTATAAGCCTTTGAAATTTAGGGAAGCATGTTATCATAGTACAGAGTCTCCCACAAGCCACCCTAGTGACACTTGGACTTGGGTACTTTATTGTAGGAGTGAGTCTGTTCTATGTATTTTTGCCTCTACCTAGCCTCTCTCTACCCACCAGATGCCGATAGCCTTTCCTCCAATGACAGCATGGATGGAGCTAGAGGACATTATGCTAAGTGAAATAAGCCAGGTGGTAAAAGACAAATACCATATGATCTCACCTATAAGTGGAACCTCACCTATAAGTAGAATCTCCTTAATCAACAAAACAAACAAGCAAGCAAAATATAACCAGAGACATTGAAATAAAGAACAAACCAACAGTAACCAGAAGGGAAGTGGGAAGGGATAATGGGGAAAAGGGGGGAAGGGTCATCAAGGAACATGTATAAAGGACTCATGGACAAAGACAACAGGGAGCTAGGGTCAAAGGCAGGAGGTGGGGGTGGCTATGGTAGATGGGAGTGTAGGGGGAGAAATAAAGACAGCTGTACTTGAACAAGAATAAAGGAGAAGAAACAATAATTTCATATGTGGAAAAATAATGATTATGTATCCATTGAAAATAATGAGGTAGATGTGGGAAAAAAAGTCTCCAGACATTGTCAAATGTACCCTGGGACACAAAAATCACCCCTGGTTAAGACCCAGTCATAATGTAATGTTATCTTTCTCATGCTTTGCCTCCCTACAGGCATATATTAACAGACACATGAAAATTCCTTTTTCTTCTGTCACCTTCTTCCTTTTATTCCTCTTCTTATAGAGGATATGAAAACTTTGATTATGTTTCAGTTTTTCTCTTTGCTTCCTCTCACCCCTGAATTGAAAGTACTTTAGAAAGAAATGGTACAGCTGTCAAGGTAAATGCAACTCCTGGCTCCTTGCCTGCTTGCATTGGCTCTGTTAAGCACTGAGTGTTGGTGGAGTTCTCTAGCCTCTCCAAACTCCTGGAAACAGCCTCACAGTGCATCCTGGGTATAGGGAGCAAGCAATCTTCACACCTTTCTGTGGTTCTCTGACCTACTGACACACAATTTTAATAACTGAAGTTGAAGTTCAGCAGCTTCTCTGATTGCAGTCTGCTGTTACTACTATCACTTTCTTATCTGAGTGGGGCCTATGTGCAGGAGGTTTGAGGTGTCAGTTTTTAGTTCTCAGAACGGGCAAAAAAAAAAGTTACACAGATGCAGACAGAAGCCTCCACCCAGCATTTCTATGTGCACTTCCCTTAAATGGTTTTCCTTGCTAACCCATGAACACGTCTGGCTGCCCTTTGGTCCCCTTCTGGTTTCAGTTCTCTTTTCACCTGCTTTGGGCAAACTTTTATTATAAATGGGTGTTCATCGTATACTGGTTGCCATAGCATTGTGGATTTCTTACAGTATTTCTTCCTCTATTGCTCTTGGTTGCTGATATTTCTTTTCCATCCCTTACTACAGCTCCCAAAAATCCTTCATGTTCTATAAAGAAATTGTAATTTTCATTAAAATAAAAACTGACTTATTTTGTTCTTTATTATAGAAAGCATACTGCTTAAGCTTCTGCATTACTTTTGGAACATTGTTGAACATAATCTGCATTTCATTCAGCTCTCATGGGGTTTTAATGTGCTTTGAAAAACCTCATGAATTATAAGATCATCTTAAAATTACATTGTATTTCTAACTGTTGTGCTTCTCCTCTCACACTCCACCTTTCAAAAAAAATCAACTCCATGATTTCAAAAGAAAAGAATGACTGTTTTTGTTTTGTTTTGGTTTTTGCTAATGAGATGTGAATCCTTTCACTGCTCTGCCTCTTCTGAACCAGGAGCAGCAAGCATGTATGATGTAGCTAAAACCTATTTTTCTATCATATGTATAACCTTTCTAGATATAGTAACTCTTCCCTCTGATATCAATTCAGTTTGAATTTTGGAGTAGGCTGAGGAAGGTCTATGGCATTATGCTGCACAATTGAAATGCTTGGCATATGACCAGTGTCCCTCTGTGCTCCCTTTGTGGTTTGCCAAGCAAGATTTCCTTTCAGCTTATTTTCCCACATTTGTCCATACAATAACATCACCACCCTGCACATGGCAGGGCCAGGAATAGGCTGTGGGAGTCCTCACCAAATCAGAGCAGGGTGGACATCCTTCTCTTCTACCCAGGGAATAGAAACTGACTTGCAGGTCGAGTAGTCTATTCTTAATTTTGCTTGTCTAATCTTAATGGTTTGTGCTCCTGATTGATAGTTTGAAAGCTTGCCTTGGTGAGAGGTGTGTCTATGTAAAGGATAATAGGGGAATGAACATTTCTCATGGCCTGTTTTAAGATATACTCTTGTTGCCCTGTATCAAAATTCAGTGTTTTTTAAAGTGTTTGGCTATAACTCGTAGGCACATTAAAAGTACTGTTTTCCTGAAACCCATGCTTTAAATTTAAGGTAAATTTAGAAAGTGATATTCTATATAAAATATTTGCCATGACATTAAATAGCCAGTTCTTCAATCACACATAAAATTCAACAGGATTTTCAATTACCTGTTCAAGAAAGCTTGTGTGGTGTAATGATAAACATGAATTTAATGAACTCAGTGCAGAGAATTAAGCAGGAGTTTTCTGTCAGAATGAGCAACTCACAGAGAAATTGTGTAACTCTATTTCTGCCTTTTTTAAATGCAGGAAACTCTATTTTGGCAATATCTTTTACATTCTATTTAAAGTAGTAGCAATGTAAAGAATGACTTTTTAAAATAATGATTTTTATTTTATAACTTGTATAAGAATAAAACTACTGGTATACCCGCGGAAAAGCTACATGTCTTAGGGGACTCCCCTGGTCAACTTTGAGCTGTTCTGTGTTTCTCATGTCTGTGAGGTTACTAGCTTGGACACCTCTGTTTACAGCCAGCACGCAGGAAGTCACCTGGAGTTCCCAGGTTTGCCTTCATCTGTGCAAGTCAATCAGCCAGATAGCAGATTGCTACTATAAAAAAATAAATGTACACTGTAAATATTTAAAGTTAGCATGTGTTTTTTTCAGACTTTTCTCTGAACATTTTCTTCTCTCAATTGAACACTGAAATCAAAAAGGGGAAAAACACTTACTGTTCATTTTCTATTCTTTTAAAATTAAAGTTGTGCAGACATGTTGGGAAAACCTCTAGTGATATTGATCACATGGCCCTTAGGGAATCTGTACAGTGAATTGTTTCTGCATTTTTTATTCAGAAACAAAATATGCTTGAGTTTAAAGGCTTGGAAGTGCTATATGAACTTACTTGAAACTTCTTTTGAGCACTGAAAAAATGACCGTATAGAGGATAAAGGAATCCTTAAACAATTTCTAAGTAACAAGTTATGGTTAGTATTTATCCAACTTTCTTTTTTGTGGTTCTTATCTGAGCAGAGAATGCAAGTACCATGGGAGTAGAAATAAAAAACAGACTATAGCTCTAAAGGTATTTATGATCTCTTCAGGAAGATAAAAAACATAATTTTTTAAAAATAATAATTATAATGCATATGATACAGAATACAGTCATCATCATTTGTCTGACAGGATTATATGGAAGAAAGAAATAACCATTGAGAAATGCTTACTATTTAAATATTTACTTAGATATTGGAGAAATTTTGGGCTTCAGTTTTTCATCATTAAATTGACATACTTTAAGGTTGTGATGATTTAAATAATACATATAAAGCATAGAAAAAGAATGCCTGACACATAGCAATTGCTTAGTAAATGGTAGCTATTCATAACAATAACATCATCTGATTTAATAATAGTACCTATGAATTATGTAGTGTTTTTCTGTTCCACAAATGAAGAAATTAACACTTAAAGAGGGTAAGTTGCCTATGACTGTCCAGCTAAATAAGAGGTCGAGCTAGGATTGAACCCAGGGACTCCAGCTCCAGAGACCAGTCTCTCAGCAGTGATGCTATCATACTGTTTTATCATTCATTCATTTATTTCACAAAAATAAATCAAACATACCTACATGCCAAGAACTATTTGTCATTAATAACATCATATTAAATGCATAGGAAAATATACTAAATGTAATGGAGATTCGTGTATAATGACATTGTATTAACTTTTTATTTGACAAAGCCTAATCCAAATATTTAAGCATATTTATAAATAACATCTGCTTAATAAATACCAGAATCAATGACTATTTCTTCTCCTAGTAACATTAGCTAGATTATACCAAATAAATAACTGCATTTATAAAACCATGGATTCTTACTTTGTATCAGTCATACATTTAGACAGGACTTAATTGAAGAAATTTCATATTCACTTTTTTGTTTTACTCACTCTTAAAGTTACCAACAAAACAGTATTCATAGGTTGACCCTTGTATTCTAACTACTAGAAAGTAGAAAAGTCATATACCATTTGCTTCTTTATCCTACAGTCACAAAATACTGTATTCTGAATAGAAGCATCCACAATTGAATTTAAATAGAATATTGTCTCTTAGCTTCATGTGCAGTGGGATCCTTTCAGTATGCTTGACTTTTGCCTCTGTTCAGTCTCTTCCATCTCAACCTTCATTATAAGTGGAACTGTAAAGTGAGTTTGTGATTATTTATTTTTTAAACCAAAGAGGATTTCTTGGTTCCTATTATCAGCCGAGCTGTGACCTGTTGATCTTGTAGTTTAGTGTCCCCAGTAGAGTCATATGGACACTTTTATATTTGGTGGTTTTTTCCATTCAGAGGTCAACCACAGGATTGTATATGTGTTGAATCAGATTTTTTAAAGAGATTACATATTGTCTTCTTAAATGTTTTATCTAAAAAAAGAAATATAATGGGGTCTGTGCTACTTCTGGCTGATGCAAGACAGGTGAGGATGTTTTTTATCTCAATTAAATAATTCAGTTGCCTACAGTTATCTCTTTGGTGTACAACATAAAAAATGGGTTTAAAAATGCTAAATGGGAGGAAACAAACTATTAGTAGAATCTGGATGACCAAAAGATGCTTCCTCACAGAACTGTAAGTCAAATCTTTCTCCATAATGGATGTACAGGTTCTTATTTTTTTCAGATGACTGACAAAAGAGTAGTATGACGTCAGTACAACTAAAAATGAAAATCCAGTAAATGTGGTTCCAATGAGGCCTGCAATCTGAGAGATCGTGGCTCCTAATTCCACATTCCGGTTATAGCACATGATCTCTTCTCCTTCTGTAGCCTCCACAGCTGAGTAGTATATGATAACTGGAACAATTAAGCCTAGTACAACTCCCCATATGTAAACGCATAGTTTTTTTGCAAAGTTGGGCTGGCGGAATCTTTTCAGTAACTTGCCATAAAATACTTTCTCATAGCATGATGTGGTCTCTTGTATGGAATCCTTTTTCATTAAGGTGGCATAGCGGCTTATTGCAATCCAACTTAAAATTAAGAGGCTGACAAACATACATACATGCATGGATAGAGTTCCAAAAAAATTGACCAGCCTGCATTGTATTGATTGATATTCCCATTGAAAGCCTTTGAGGAAATAGATACCCATGAAAGGCATAGCACTGCACACAAGTAAGTTTGCAGTCACAAGATGTGTTAGGTAGATGTGAGTTGATGTTTTCTTACCTATTTTTGCTAAAAATACCCATTGAGCAAGAGAATTTCCAAAGAGACCAATGATACAAAGGAAGATATAAAGGACTGGTAAACCCATGGAAGAGATCATGGATGGTTGAATACATGTTGAGTTGTTACTCATTGATATCAGATTTTCTTGCATTATGTCACAGGAGCTAGAACAGAATTGCAGATATTTAATATTAAAGTTATACATGGTATTTAAGCTGAGTATTTTTAAGCATTGTATACAATAGTAACATAAATGTATTAGATGGAAAAGCAAAGTACAGATGCCATCTCACCTTTTATGATCAAAATTGTCCAGTTGAAATAAAAACAAAAAGTTGATTGTTGTTTAAAGTACCTTTGTCTAAAAAAATAAAATTTGGTACAAATAGTTAAATGCCTGAGTTTTATCATTTTATACTAGAGGAATTTATAATTTTTATATTAGATCGTAAAGCAATTTGTACAGAATAGTTAGGTTTTTTTTTTTTTGCCTAGAAAGGTAATTTTAAAAAATGTAACACAATGCAAGCAATACATACTGGCCAAAGGAGAGTGGTGCAAAAGCATTTTGTGGCCACATTAATAGAGAGAATACTGATTTTTAACTATCACCTTAATTGTACATAAATATTTTTTCAAAAAAAAATTTTTTTCATAGCTAGGGCAAAGCACTTCTCCATAATCTAACACAATTAGAAGAGTCTCTTTTCATATTTCAGAAGTAAACTTAATTTCACATAAACAAATACTCAGGCAGGATCCTGAATTGAACAGAAGGAAAGTGTAGTAACCAAGGATAAACACCAAAATCCAAGGGTCTTTGCCAACAGTCATCAGTAGTTTCTTATTTCAAATATTTAATGCTAAACTATCATGCTTGAATAAAAAGTTTAAAATTCTATGTTTAAACTATAGTTGCTGTGCTTGTTGGTTAGAGTGCCCTCATGTGTCTTTGTGTGTAATTGACTATCTTGATTTTTCAGAGTGTATGTTGTTTTTTAGAAGCTATTTTAGTCACAGCATAAATGCAGGTATGCTTTTTTGCTTTTTTATGTCGTATTTTTAAATATTTCTCCAAAGGGTATGTATAAAGTGTTGAAGAGTCATATACAAACTGCTTTTCATTCTTATTTTTCTCATGTCCTCATTTCTTTCAAGTAGGAATAATAAAAGTTACTGGATTCTGGTCAAATAAGAATCACGAGCTCTATTCAGAATGTGCCATACTATGTTTTTCACCATAATTTTCTAGGTTCCACATTCTTTACTCTTTTATAATCTGTAGTGTGGATTCTCATTCTTATTTCTATTATCATAGTCTCTCTTTTGATAAACACAAAATCTTTATCATATACTGCTTTCTGAGGTTATTATATGCCCCCAGCCCCTTAGGACTCTACTCTCTATCCCTCTCAGAATCATAGCTGTCTTTTTACCTCTTGGATTACAGAAAAAGTATATTTTAAAAAATGCCTATTATAATTTTGAAATATTTTTTAAACCAAATAACACCCACCTAAAGACTTAAAAGCTTGAGGGCTTTGCAGTGTCTATACGTTCAAATACTGCAACCTTTAGTAATGTCTACTGATATCTTTGTCATTTTATTTTCTTTGCTATTTTTATTTAGAAAATAGTCAGTGTGCTTCAAAGTTAGTGTATATCCAGTTGTAAATATACAGTATAACCTAAACTGTAACAAATCAGTCAACTGGAAAGTAAAATAAACCAGTTTATTTCTTAAGAAAAACTTATCTGATAAAAGTAGTTTTTACTTTCCATAAGGAATGGAGCTTCCCTTTATGATGATATTAAAGAACAATACTAACCCCCTCCATTTCACACTAGCAAATGTTTCAGAACAGAAGGGAGGTAAAAAAAAAAAAAGAAGAAGAAGAAGACCTTCATAGAGTCTAGCATTATCAGACAGATGACAATGAGACTCTGTAGAACTTCAACATAATGAATGACAACTAGTTCACATCTTTAGCTTCCCAAATATCAAACTTGTATTTACTATATACCTCTCCTTTAAAAATAAACTTGGATTATAAAACTGTTGGATAATTATTTTCTAAAATTTGGAAAATACTATAATGCTTAAGAAATAAAATTAAAATATCCTATTATATATGCAGAATTGCTCTCCAGAAAATGTCTACAAGTCTGCATTCCCCTCAGTAGAATGTCTGTCTTGGGTCACGCACACACTGTGTCTCTGCTAATTTGACAACTGGAAAAAGCTCTACAACTCTAACTTCAGTTACTAATAATGATCTACATAATATGCTGACTGCCTTTCCTGATTTCTTTTCAACATTTAAACAATTTAGTTCTGTTAGAATTTCTACACAGTTATCTTTTAAGGTAAAAGCAAATGATCAGTCTTACCTGTACAAGTAGTTTATGCCAGTCAAGGCTCCGTTTTTCAGGACAGTGATGTGATGCTAAAACACTTCACACTTAAAATTCTCTGATCATCACTCCCTCAGTATCCTTCATTTTTATCATTGTGAACAGGTTCATACATGACACCAACGACAGAGGTGAAAAGAAAAAAGGAAATTAAACAGTATTTTAGAAATTCAATATCTGTAGTAAATGTAGCAACTGTCTCCACCCACACACACCCACATACACACACACACACACACACACAAAACCCTTATTTCTCTATTTCTGCAGTGGGAGGAAGTTGGTGGACCATATATATACTGGACTTCCATGTGATTATTTTATGACCTTTATGACCCAGTTACATTTCAGTTAGCTTTATTAGCATGTTTGATTGAAGTTCGTAGGTTTAATTCCCATGGCTAGTTAGTTTTATACAACACAGTGGTAGAGGGAACCACTCCATACTGACCGAATAAAATATTGTTACAAACTCATCTGTAAAATTATCTGTGGATGACTTTTTTTTTTAACTTTCCATTTTCTTTTTTTTATTTATTTATTTAAATTGATTATGCTGTTACAGTTGTTCTATTCCCCCCTTCATTCCCCTCCACCCTGCCCCCCATCCCCACCATTACCCCCCTTTAGTTTATGTCCATGTGTCTCAAGTCCTTTAGGTTCTATATTTCCCATGCTATTCTTGCCCCCCCATCTATTTTCTATCTACTGTCTATGCTACTTATTTTCTGTACCTTCTCCCCCCATCTCCTCCTCCCACTCCCCTGTTGCTAACCCTCCTTGAGATCTTCATTTCTATATTTCCACTCCTGATCTAGCTGTTCTTTTAGTTTGCTTTCGTTTTAGGTGTGGTTGTTAATAACTGTGAGCTTGTTGTTCTTTCACTGTTCATGTTTCTTTAACTTCTTTTTCTTAGATAAGTCCCTTTAACATTTCATATAATAAGGGCTTGGTGATGATGAACTCCTTGAATTTGGTCTTATCTGAGAAGCACCTTATCTGTCCTTCCATTCTAAATGAAAGTTTTGCTGGATAGAGCAATCTTGGTTGTAGGTCTTTAGATTTCATGACTTGGAATATTTCTTTCCAGCCCCTTCTTGCCTGTAAGGTCTCTTTTGAGAAATCTGCTGACAGTCTGATGGGGACTCCTTTGTAGGTGATTGTCCCCTTAGCTCTTGCTGCTTCTAGGATTCTCTCCTTCATTTTAATTTTGGCTAATGTAATTATGATATGCCTTGGTGTGTTTCTTCTTGAGTCCAACTTTTTTGGTACTCTCTGGGCTTCTTGGATTTCTTGGAAGTCTATTTCCTTTGCCAGATTGGGGAAATTTTCTTTTATTATTTGTTCAAATAATTTTTCCACTGGTGGTTGTGTCTTTCCCCCTTCTGGTACCCCTATAATTCGGATATTGGAGTGTTTAAAGATATCCTGGAGGTTCCTAAGACTCTCCTCATTTCTTTGAATTCTTGCTCCTTGACTCTTTTCTCTTTGGCCATTATTTGCTTTCTTCTGGTCCACTCCATTGATTTGAGTCCCAGTTTCCTTTTCATCTCTATGGGTTTCCTGTGGAATTCCATTCATTTCCCCTTAATTTAGCCTTCATATGTTTCTCTAATTTGTGGCTATAATCCACCAGATCTGTGAGGAAGCTGATGACCAGTGTTTTAAACTGTGCATCTGAGAGTTTTGCTATTTCTTCGTCGCTTAGATTTATCTCTGGGGCTTTGAGGTCTTCCTGCGACATTTTTGGTCTGTTCTGGCCCTTTAAATGTGAGAAGCGGCGCCTTGGAGTCCCAGGTCGCTGGGTTGTGACGCTGTATGTGGGGGCGTGGTCAGAGCAGGGAAATGGCGGCGCCCTCTATCACCAGGGCCCTCTATCGCCCGCGGCCGGTCCAACCGCCCGCTCCCTCGCTCGCGCGCAATTAGGCAACCGCAGTCAACACGCTGCACCGCCTCCCCACTGTCTCCTCTGCAGTCGCTCACCCGGTGGGTTGCTCGGTCCAATCCTGCGTTTGGAACCCGTGCGTCTGGATTCGCGCGTCTGGATTCCACGCCCGGGTCCAATCGAGCCCTCCTTTGCAACTCCTCACCAGACGCCGGTTTCGCCCCTTACCGGTCAGGCTGAAGAATTTGTTGTTAGCGGACTTCCAAAAAGTTCAGTTTTCCGTGTTCTGGTTGTGTTTTCTGATGCTAACATTTAGTTGTCCCTAAACTTGGTTGTGTGAGAAGGCACAGCACATCCACCTATACCTCCATCTTGGCAGAAGTCTCCTGTGGATGACTTATTTACAATTTGTCTTTGTCAGGAGTAAAAAGAAGCAGAACTCAAAGTTTTCTTACCTACAGAACCTTACTAGATTCCAATATCATAGAACTAGAATAGAACTTCATGATCACCTTAAAATAAAAACCCTTTATTTTAAGGAAAAAGAAATGAGGCCCAGTGCAGCACACTTTAAGCACAAAGTTGCACCCCAGGAGTTTTGGTCCCAATTTGATTACTAAGATCTAGCCCATTCTAGTTTGAATTGCCTTGTGTTGCCTCCATTCAGATTTAAAGTTAGTTTGGAACATTTCATAATGGATTTGGGGATTCTGGAAAGTGCTAGATATGAAGACCAAATGTGCCTCAGATTAAATAAATAGTTACATTATGATATAAGAAATTTCTAAACCAATTTTATGTATAAAATTGTTTAACCAGTAACTAAATGAAAGCTAAATGTGTACAGCTAGGGAGCTAGACCTGAGTCACACACTACCCCTTTCTTGGGAAGTTAAACCACTGGGAGTCTGGGAATGGGAACAGAAATCTAATGTCATCAAGTCTGAGTACTTTATCAGTAAGTCTCCATTTAAAATTAATAGTACTTTGCCATTTCTCAACCCCCGATGCTTACCCTATTTCATGTTGATTGTATAAATCTTCCCTAATGTTTGTTAATATTTCTCTCTAAATCAGGTGGAACCACCTTAGTGTCTGGATTTTGTTTGCTGCTGTTCATCTCTGCAATATGATTTAATTAAAAATAGTGACTTATCCAGAATTACATGGCCATCGATGGCAGAGTAATTTGACCTCTGGAATTCATGTCATTATTACTTCGACAATTTTTTATGTTCCACAAAGGAATTACTTAGAACAAAAAACATTTTGAAGTTATTTAGAGAAGAAAGAATGGAATGCTGTTCATAAATGATTGGAAGACAATCTTAATGTCATCTCTTTGAGGCTTAAGTTCCTTTGATCCAAAAAAGAATGTCCTCATTCTCCACAACTTTTCTTCCATTGTCCCCAAACTCAGTAAAAAATACCACTACTTCTTTGGTTATTTGAACTAAAAACCTATGAATTAGCTTTGATTCTATTCTTTCCTTTACATTTCACATCCAATTCCTGCTACTGCAGCTTTGATCACCACCACCACCACTACTAATTAGCAGAAAATTGGTCCTGTCAGAAACATCTACACTTAAGAAATGTCCCTGGGTTCAAACAACCTATAACATTTATTTATACTTTTGGTTTACAGGATTAACACATTAAAAATACCATCAGGAGGTTTTGGCCAAGATGGAGGCATAGGTAGACACCCTTCACCTCCTTACACAACTATAAGGAGAATAACAACCAATCTAAAAGCAAAAAAAAATCATAATTGCCAGAAAATTGAACTGTATGGAAGTCCAACAAACAAGGATTTAAAGAAGAAACATTCATACAGATGGAAAGGAGGGGTAGGGTCAGGCAGCCAGGATGTAGAGGACACAGTGTGGTGCAGCAAGGTGGTGGCAGCCAGGGAGTAGCAGTGGCAGCTGGTGGAATGGGAAGCCTCTCATTCACATGTGGCAGATAAAAACCAGGAGGAACAACTGGGGAGTGAGTGATCCCAGCCCCAGACCAGACTGCACAGTCCAGGGTTCTTGTGCCAGGAAAATAAACCCTCATAACCTCTGGCTGTAAAAACCAGTGGGGATTGGGACAGGAGAATAAACTGCCTGTCTCTCAGGACAGTCCATCTACAGGGTCCACAGAGTCCTAGAATGTACACAAACCCACCCACTCAGGGAATGAGCACCAGAGCAGCAACTAGAAGGGAGCCAGTTACTCATGAGAAGTTGGGGAAGTGACTGGAAATGGCAAGAACTGAGCAAGCAGCATTGTTCTCTCTCTGACCCCTCCCCCATGTATAGCACCTCAAAGCTTTGAAGCAGGTTGCCCCGCCTTGGCAAATATGTAAGGCAAATATGTTTACAATGTAACAGGTATGGCAACACAGGGAGTCAAAGTAGCTCTACTTAATACACAGAAACAGAGGGAGGCTGCCAAATTGAGGAGACAAATAAATATGCGCCAAATGAAATAGAACAAAACTCCAGAGGAAGAACTAAGTGACATGGAGATAGCCAACTTATCAGATGCAGACTTCAAAACACTGGTGATCAGGATGCTCAGAGAAAGGATTTGGTATGGCCACAAAATAAAGGAATAACTGAAGACTATACAAAGTGAGATAAAGAAAAATATAAAGGGAACCAACAGTGAAGGGAAGCTGGGATTCAAATCAACAATTTGGAACAAAAGGAAGAAAAAACAGTCACCTGGAACAGAAAGAAGAAACAAGAATTCGAAGAAAATGAAGAGAGGCTTATGAACCCCTGGGACAACTTTAAACATACCAACATTTGTATCATAGAGGTGCCAGAAGGAAGAAGATGAAATTGAAAACTTGTATGAAAAATAATGAAAGAAAACTTCCCCAATTTGGTGAAAGAAATAGACATACAAGTTCAGGAAGTTCAGACAGTCCCAAACAATTGAACACAAAGAGGGCCACACCAAGAAACATCATAATTAAAATTCCAGACGGTACTTCCGCCAAGATGGAGGCGTAGGTGGGAACACTTTTCGTCCTCGCACAACCAAATCTAAAAACAACAAAGTTTTAACAACAATAAACATAACCAAACCACACAGAAAATCAAATATGGAGTCCGGAAACAATGGACCACTCAGCTAAACCGGTGAGAGGGGCGAAACCAGCAGTGGAGCCAATAGGGCAAAAAAGATCCTGGCAGTGCACAGGCAGCTGGGGCGCGGATCCCAGGTTCGTGCTAGCTACGGGTGGAACCCAGGGAAGAGGCGCTGCTGGCTGTCTGCAGTTGGTCGCGCATTTGCACACAGATAAACCAGTGAAGAGGCGAGCATTGGGACAGATCTCGCAGGCCCCAGCGACTGGTGCAGGGAGGCAGACTCGCACATTTGCGCTCGGATAAGCAGGTGGAGGCGAGCAGCGAGGCGGACTGGGCGAGCGGAGAGGACCACCATTGCTCCTTCTCTGACCCTGCCCCCACATACAGTGTCACAA